TCATGTTTTCCTCATCTTTTGCATGCTAATGATGTTATCTATTTTATATGTAATATCTACATAATAATCACATTGATTAGTTATAATGTGCTAGGCAATGCACTGTTCTATGCATTTTACATCCACTATCTCTAATATTTTTCACAAAGCTTTTAATGTAAAAACTGCTATTTTCTTCTATGCATCAAGAAATATAGCTTTCCAGGCACTGTGTTATACAAAAATGTAGATCTCCAGAGCCCAATTATCCTTGGAATTATTTAGTATCTAAGAATAGGGCTTTGATTTAAAGAATATGTAGTCCAATCTCAACTGCACCTAGAATATCCTATATAACTTTTAATGGTCCAAATAGGGAGTGAATGAAGAATTCCCCAGTTTCTTTGTACTCTGGAAAGGGTAGCACATTTTTTTTCCCCTAGAGAATAATTAGTTTCTTATCTGCCCCTACCCTATCCTTCAAAATGAGCAACAAATGTATTCAAACCAAACATGCTCTTAAAGAGTGGGGGTGGGGAGGATTTCAAAACAGAAGATGTAGATGCTTTATAAAATTGATTTTTTCTGATATAATTCACCACACATAATATTCCAGTGTTTGATATAACATATAATCATACTAATGTTCCCTAATAAATAAGCCATGTAAAGAATTTAAATGTGTGCTTGAATCAATCTGAATTATTCATTCAAGTAAAACTTACGAGAGAGAGTCTAATAGCAAGAATAATTATGGCTTTTTAAATGAAAACAATCAAATTAAAGTACATTTAAATATAATGCTGACATCTTAATCTAGAATTTTCCACATTTGTTCCTGCTAATATAAAATCCTATATAAGCTTTGTATAGTATTTTTTATAAGATCTTTGGAAATTTAGTTTCTTCCCATAGTTATTTCAAATGAGCCATTCATGAACCGAGTGTCTCTTGTCTCCACACTTCTAAGAAGGGCAGTAATTATGTATAATTGCTCTCTTGCCGGGATTTTACAGATAAAAAGTTCAATACAAAAAGACTTCATATATATATGAAGTGTGTGTGTGTATTAAGTATATTTTTGTACACACATACACAAGCATGAAATTAAATATCTTTAGTTCAGATTCTCCATAATTGAAATTTTAATTTGAGGCTTAACTGTATTGGGTTTGCTAGGCAGATGAATAACAAAATTCTTAGAGCGATAAAGATTTCTTAAACTCCTTTAAGTAGTCTCAAATGCTTTAGTTATTTGAAGTCAATATTAACTTAAAGAAAAGTTATTTTTAATGTGATGGTGAACCACACTTAAACTTCTGAACCATTTCTTTCATTTAGAAGAATCACTAGAAACAGGCTTAAATATTTGTCTGTAAAGTCCCATCATCTGTCTTTAAGCAGGAATTTTAAGCAGTTCATGACATCACTCTGGTATGCTCTGATATCCACATAGATCACCCATTCACAAACTAACCTTTTGGTTTTATAACTTTATTGCTTCCAGTGTTGTTCACTACCCCAAGTCAGACACTCTTCATGGTACTATTCTGAATCTTGTCATCATCACAAATCATGCTTCTTTCAAACTTACCAATTCAAGCATCTCATTTCTTGCTAATCACAGTCTTCCCACCTTTGATCTTGCTATATGAACTTTTTCTACTATCATCTATATTTAACCTCTATCCTTTACCAGTGCACTATCCCCTTTCTGTTTTCCCCTCTCTCCTTGTTTAGCTTAGATCATGTCCGTAATTTCAGCACCCTCAAAATTTGTTAAATTTCTTCACTCCGCTTTCATTTGGTCACATCTACATATAACAACCACACCCAACAACGAGATTTTTTTTCTCCATGTGTACATTTTGGCACATCTGTGCTGTTGGAGAAAATTACAGCAGGGAAATTAGAAATAGTTTTATCGTGAAATTCAGCACTGCCTAGTAATCCCAAGAGTTTTATTTCATTAATGTCGTTCTACTCTCTGCAACTCTTGTTAGAGACCTCCACTCTCCTCAAACTTGTATCTTCTGCTGATGAGTTTACATTCTAGCTTAAGGAGACAGAGAGACAGAGAGAGAGAAACCATCCAAGTGCCCTGAATTGCTTGATGCCAAATATATACTAACACTTGCCCCATGTGTCTTATTATAGAAAACTAGGCTATTCTCCTCTTACTCGGATCATCCCTTTCCATTTTCTTAGTCATTTTGTGCTGAATTCCCCCTTGCTTTCAACTTCTGCTCCTGTTTTTTTTTTCCCCACCAGCATTTAAACATTCTCAACTTTCACCTATTAAAAAATATTTATTCATTTTACTTTTCCATTTCAGTTACCAGCCATTAACTACTCAATTTGGTGTTAATAACTGATTTAAAAATATTTCTGAATCACCAACTTGAACCTTACAAAGCAGGAGTCAATTATATTCCCAACGTAAAACTCTTTTAATGAATTGTTTCTTATTTGAAGTTTTCAATCCAGAATTGACTAGTTTATAACAGGAGAAGGTCCATTCAATTGTAGGAGATCTGGAAGATCAAGGTGAGGAAACTGAAAAGTTGAAGGCTCTCATTTTGAAATATAAGACATATGTTTGCTGGTAATTTCTTCTTCTCCTGACTGGATATATGCTGATGTTGCCAAGGAAAACATAATGTCAATAATTGCATCTGATCTCATTCATTAGATGGTAACATAACCTATTTTTTTCATGTTAATTAAAACTTACTTGCCTATTACTCACAATGGTCTTTAACTGAAGAATATTTATTCTTGACAGAATCTCTCTCACTATTAACATAGCCTTGACACTTCTGAAATGGAGAGAAAAATAATGAGGCCATATGCTACTGTAAATAAATATCTGTAGGAAAGAATGCATCAATATTTACAATAAGAAAAATTAATCAGAAAAAAACTTCTCTGCAAATGTATATTACCTCCTATATGAAGTTTATAATATATTAGCACAAAATATGGGTCATTTATAACTATAGATTTTTGTCTTTTGCAGAACACATTTGTTTGAAAGTCATGAGGTGAAATTCTTAACATTCTAAAGTGATATAGCTGCTTGAAATTGTTCTTTATTTACTACGAAGAGAAGAAAGTTCATAAAAACTATGAGAAATCAGATAATTTATATAAATTCATAAAAAAAAAATAAATTCATAACAAAATAATAGAAATTTTTGCAATGCTTTTTGAGCAGTTAAATTTTTAAACTTGTGTTTAAATTTGTGTTATTTTCGTATTTTCCCTTATATTTTATATTTTAAGGTATTTATACTGATTAAGTTTTTTATTTTAAAAAATGATGAAGGACCATCTGATAAATATTACTGTTTTACTGCCTGCAAATTTAATCAGCTTGTTTTATAGGAAAGTGATTCCTAGATAGCTAGTAGGCTCAGAAAGATTATGTTGTCCATGGTGATAACTAGTTCCAAATGCTTTTGGCAATTTTCTTGGAAAGCTGAGAAATTGCCTATTTTTTCTGAACCCATCAGAGAATTCACAGGTATGTTGACAAGAAAACCATTTTAAACATCTAAAAACTATATCCTTTTGGTTTTAATTTCATTTCTGTGGGGTGTATGGTGTGAAAAATACGATAAATTTCTTGGGACAGTGTAATGCCAGTGTTTCTGAACATCTATGTTTTTGTTCATGTGAAAATTTAAGGAGCTTGCCACAGATGCTGTGGAGTTAAGGCCAAAAATATGCATTTTTTTTCAAAGTGCCAATTTAATAAAAAGTACGTGGTTTCTCTGAATGAATGCCTTGAGAGGAGGCACGTGCAGGGTGTTCCATTGCACATCAATCTTTTCTTTATAATAATTGTTCAATAAAAAAGGAGATGCTCTAACCTGCCTAATTTCTGACATAGGAATTTCTGCTTTCTATTTTGTTATATTGAACATATTTTATGAGTTGTAGTAACAATTTTATTTTTTAATAATTAGGCTATTATGCTTGTAATATATTTTCAAAACAATATTCTCATGGATTTTTGTTGAATTATTTAACTTCCATATTTTCTCAATGCCTCTTCTACATCCAGGGAGCAAGGGTTCTTCAAAAGCAATATATCTATCAATGTTGTTTTAGTGATGATTTCTGGTAATATTGGTGAACCAATATAATTTATGGACTTTTCCCAAAAAACATTTATAAACACCTATTCAAATAATTAAATATTTCTACTACTGAAAAAGCCACAATAGGCACAAACTTGATGTTTATTTTGCCAATAAAATAGAGGAGGAAGTAATGTGGCCACAGAAGAAGAGGAATAGAACACTTTTACACTTTCTCATGTTCTGATTACTAGCCATACATATTTACCAAAATAGTAATTATTATTACAGCATTGATTGGAAAAATAAATTGTGGATCTGGAATGGACTTTACGCATTACTATTGCTAGGGATTATGATGAGGAAATTGAAGACCAGAATCTGCTAATAATTTTGACCAAATTGTGTATGACAACTAGAATCTAGGTTTTCAGTTCATCAAACTAGGAAGGACTTTCTTCACTTCAAGTTGCTGCCTCTTCACATGTCTGCTGTTCTTTCTTCTTGGGCCTTAGCAGTGGCTTATAAAAATAAAAATCCAAGTGCCAATTAATAAGTTATTGTTTCTACTGGTAAAATAACATGGAAGTGGCCTGAGGTAAAGAATGTCCTTTACCAAGATTCCTTGATTTCCTCCTGGGATGTACTCGAGGCTGGGAAAATGTGGTCATGCATGTTTCAGAGTGGCTCATACTCAAGACATAGACTTATTGGTCAACTATTAGAACTACCCTCAGCCTGACTATGCTTTTGGACGCAGTGAGTATGTGTGTCATGATGAAATACAAAATGGCACCATGTCTTTCTCGTATCTGAGCTTTCTCACATCTGAAATAATGCTCTTGTTTTATTCCATGGCTTTCTTTGGATTGAACTGTATCCATTAACATTTGTGTGCTTTTCTTTTCCATCCGTCCTTCTCCATCTCATGAAAAGCACATCTGGGTAAGTTGAATCACAATGGCTGCTGAACATGTTTATTTTCAGCACCATCTTTTTTTTTTTTTTCAAAGTATTACTCTTTTGAGTTGTAACACAAGCTGCACTGCCTCTGACCTGAAATGAAAATCGTGAAGTGTATTTATTTCCACACAGTAAAAAGGAATCATTGGTTCAGAGAAATGTTCATATTTAAATTAATTATGTGAGCTTTCGGGCACTTGTATTTCTTCCGTTTTATTATATACATGTCAAAAACATTCTAGACTGCCTTCCCCCCTAGTTTTCTAGTAATTCCCTAACGGGTCAATGTGGCAAGCAGCCAGGCTCAAGTCATACTTTCAGACCACTCAGGTACTACTGATTGTGCTGCCTGTCTGAATTGCCTGTACCTTTCTTAATGCTCCACCTGTGTTATGTTCAAGAGACAAACTTATTCATCAACGAATAGAACTGCACATATCCGAAAAGGGTTAAATGCTGTTCTTCCTGCAGAGCTTTTGCAAATAGAGAGCCAAGAATAATCCTTGGTTTTGGTTGAATGTGTGTTGTTCCCATTGTTTCCTGTACTACTGTTTGATTTCTAAAGTTTTAAAAACCTGAATTACTCAGTTAAAAGGCTTCAAATTTTAAATCCTTCTCTTTGAACTAAAATTAGAGTATTTATCTATTCCTAGCACAAATTTGACTTCAAAGTAAAAAAGTAAAATAAAATATGCATAATATTTAGATTGGTGTAGACTACTGCATTTGTAACATGGTGAGCTATTAAAACACTTTGGACTGAGAAGAAAGTATTGCTTTTAAATTTAAAGCAGTGTTATTTTCTATCAATAAAATGACTACAATGAGATACAATTATCCAGGAAACTATGAAAAGTATTACTAGTTGGCTATATAAATATTTTGTATGCCAATATAAATTCATTTACTTTATAATATTACTTTATTAACTAGTAAGGTTTATATTATTTTTAATATAATGTTAAGTTTCAGTTGCCATTAACTAAATGATTTAGTGATGCAGTATTTGCTTCAGTTAGGATATTTTACAATACTGAGGAATTAAGGAAAGCTCTAGTAAGGTGTTCTTAAAAATGCAAGGCAGGTTGTGGTTAGAGTACTAGTCAATGATGTTGGCCAAATGAATGTTGTAAACTCTTTTTGAAAATAACAAATGTTCTTGACATTGAGTTTTAAAGCAGAGTTTTCATGTCATCATGTAAATTCAGTCTTCTGTTTTCTAATGATTTTTAATTTTTCTGAGGAAAATAATTTCAAGAAATAAAACTTAATTCCCCACATTCCTTATTGAATGAAATATTGAAAAACAATGAATGAATGATGCATTTTTATTAATGGACTATAAGAAACTGATATAATGGCCTTCATTCTAAAATTCAGTTTCTTATTATCTTGCACGTGCTCCTTGGACTTAAACATTTTAGGACCTCAACATCATTTCCCTAGTACAATTACTAAAAGAGAGTTTGAATAATATAATATAAGGGAAGATAGTACAACATAGTGAAGATGACATAAGAAGATGTGAAGAAAAAAGAATACTGACTTAGGAATCAGAAGATAGAGTTTAAGTTCCATCTTCCCCACTTATTTGCTACATGCCCCTGAGTGACTGAAATATTCTTTGTACTTACTAATATTATTATCTACTTATCTCCTACAACAGTATGAGAGAATATGTGTACCTTCAGAAGCATACAAACTATAAACTTCCAAACTGAGTAAAAGACGGTATAAAATTAGATGAAACACTAGAGCAATCTAATCTAAATGGTATTCATATAACCTGAAAAATTACAGTATTTTCCAGTAAGTCCCCAATTACTATCCAATTACTATTAGGAAGTGACTGGCATGTACAGACTATGGTGTCTTGCAAAAGTGAGATTGTTTAATGGGGAGTAATATAAGCCCCTCTCATTTTCAATAACAGCATAAATAATTGTATGATTCAATCATATTTGTGTGTATGTGTGTGTGTGTGTGTCGGGGGGTATTTATACCTTTTTAATGGTTTTGGAAATAATTCAATTCAAAACACAGTAAGGAAGGAGATTATGTAAATCCAAATTCAATTCACAAATAAATTTCTTTCCTGAGACTATGCCCTATATTTCAGAGAAGCTTGAAGATGAGAGGTTTCAATATTAACGAATTTTGGTTTCAATGTAATGAAATTATTTGAAATCTAAACAGCCTAGCGTGTGTTACTGGAATCTGAATAAAACACTACTTAAATGTGTCATAGATTTTCATACATTTTCACCAAATGTGAAAATATGCAGTAATAGGATACACAGGCACACACACATTTGCACTTGCACATACGCAAAATCACAGTATGCTGTGCTTTCAAAACAACTCAAATTTAATGTTGAATTTGAAACTTAATTTTATGAAGCTAAATATGTATAGTTAGGTAATCAATCTTCTGAAGCAGCTGATTGGAATTTGTAACATATTTCTGTTTAGAATAATTATGTTAACTAAGATATACATGTTCAGCTTGCAGATGTTAAAAAAAAAAATAATTGAGTTGGCACCATACTGTATTCGCATTTGCTGACCAGAATTTCAACTAGCTTCTCAAATATGTAGTTTTAGTTTTCACAGACTTAATCAAGTGTGGATTCCTGAATAATAAGCCCATTGTTTGGTTGAAATTTGAGGAGGTTACATCCTATTTACTCTCTTGAATGCTGAATTTTAGTGGAACAATATGCATTTTACAATTAACAACAGTGTGAAGTCTGTGCACATTTCCTGCTAGTATTGTGTAAGGAAGATTTATTTTCTGTGCTGCAATACTAAGTATTTTATATTGTCACATTATTTGACTTATATTTTCTTCTTCATTCTTATCAAGCCACATATTTATTTCTTCTGGTTTTATCAATAAGTACTTGTTATGTGCCATAGTAAATCAGTAGCTCTGAAGGTAAATTTTTCAACCAGAGAATTATTTTGTATGGTTATTACAAAATCAATTGAAATGAAATGAATGGCAACAAATTCAACTTCTCTATCTCATTCATTTAAACTAGGCTAACTTTTCTCTGGCCAAGATGTACAACCTGATATTACTAGGGAATAACAAGAAAAGAAAAGCCACAGTTCGTTTGTTCTTTTATAATGCTGAGGATTGAAATGTGTGACAATAAGAAGGTAAAGACCTTATATATTAACCAGGAAGTCAAATAAATGTATGCCACTTCTAAAAATAAATGAACCATAGGAAAAGAAAGAAAAGTAGGAGACCATTATTTTATTTTACACTTAAAATAAGGAAGGCACTATTATCCTTATTCTTCAGTGATGAAAAATTTCAGAAATGTTAATTGGCTAAGAGATGGCATGGCGGTTAAGAGAGCTGACTCTGTGGACAAGTTATTGGGGTTCAAATTCGATTCTGCAATTCAATGGTTCCATGACTCCAAGTGGCCTCTGTTCTTCAGTGTTCTCATCTGCAAATGTGTGTCAATATGTATCTTATTGGATTATTATGAAAATCAAATGAGTTAATACACATAAAAACAGGATGGTGCTTCATAGATAGTAAGTGATAAATGCACATTTAGTTATTGTTTTGTGTGATCCAAAGCCTAATTTGTCTGCATCCAGAACCTTTGCTCTTTCAAACCACTATATTACATCTCATAAGAATATGAAGTGGTTCAGATGAACAGGAGAGCACATTAGATGCATCTCAATTATAGCACTTACTGTATTAAATTGTAATACAATTTATTTCATTTTATTTAGATTGTATTTTAAATTTTAAGTGAAAGTATAATAAGTACAAGTATAATATATACAAGTTATGGTATTTGCATAGAAGAGAGAGTTCATCCTTCCTGGGAGAGGACTTAGAATCTTAACAGAAAAAATTAAGTATGAGTTGTGTCTGGAGGATAAGTTAGAGTTGTTACGATGGTGACGTAAAGAAGGATGCCCTTGGCAGAAGAAAAGGGCATATAGCAAGTCATGGAGGGGTAAAATGGAATGAGGTATTTGGGGAATAGCAAGTATTTCAGTGTTGGTTGAGCAGAAAAAGCCAGGGAGACAGTCAGATCATGAAGGGTCTTTTTATAAGATATTTGGCCTTTATTTTGAGAACAGTGGGGGAAGCTTTCAAGCAGGTGAGTCTTAAAGAAAGATTTGTGTTTGGGAAGGTCTCACTGGAGGTTGGAAGGGAGAAGTTACCAAATGAGAGACAGAGAGACTCTAGGAGCCCATCACCATCATCGTCAGACGATAAGGGCTTAAACAAAAGCTTTGGCAGTACTCAGTCAGTTTACCAAATGTCTTTCTGAATGTTAGATACGACATTTTAATCTTTTTCTGCAGCCAACCTGGGTAACTGTGATGCAGAATTCTTATTTCTTTTTAAGATGCAATGAACAGTTGGAAGTTATAAAAATATAGAATACTTAAAAATGCCCTACAATCAAGGATCCTAGGTGACTGTCAACATTGTGAGATTTTTTGGACTATAATTTAGCAGTCATTCAAAAGATGTTCTTGACTAGTGCATCCAAAGAAAGATGCATGATACAGTTTGAAGACAAACTCTGATTTTCAGGATTTTACTCTCTTGGATTGGAGATGATGCCTCAGGCACAAAAAAATGATTTCTATGGGTGAGATTGACATATTTTAAAGGAGAGGTTTTCCATATTTTAAAGGAGAAAAGGATAATTGTAGATTGGGCTGATCACAAAATATTTCATATAAAAGGGAAGCCAGGAATTAAATAAACAAGGTTGTTGATAGTTGAAAAAGTAGCAGTCAAGTTATCCACTCTAGGAAATGGTATTTGCAAAGGTGGAATTGGTGATGCACAAACCGTGAAAGTACTTTTCAATTCTGGTTAGAAGGAAAGGTAATTACATAATTAAATCAAGATTAAACAAATATCTTTGTAATGAAGATTAAAGATAATTCTTTAGACATTTGAGGAAACACTGAAAGGTTTTTAGAGG